TGCATGTTTATTTTATATATTTTGCTTTGACACAGCAGATGCTTTTCAACAGAAACAGACTGTCTCCCAAGTTTACTCCCTGAAAACAGTTAAGTAAACCCACCTAATAAAATGGTTAGGGCAGATAGGACATTGTTTTTTTAGTTTACCAATTATTAACAAAAATATGTTTTAACTTGTAAACATTGTCTGTTGTATTTGACCTGAGTTTTATTTATATGACTTGTTTATGCTGGAGTAAACATTATACTATAGTAAATATTACACACTATACTTAGTTTATTGAGAAAATGAAAGAACACTGGTTGTAAATGATATCTGGTATAAATGTTTGACTCTCTACAAACAATGGAATCACAGCCCTCCCCTCCAATTCTCCCCCCCCAAAAAAACAAAACAAACCCAAAATCTGAAGACTTTATAATGGTCAGTGAAAGGACATCACACTCTTTGGTGAGCTCAACAACCGTGCACTTAGAAGTATTTTAAACTCAGGAGGAAATGTGAATATTATAATTAAACTATTCATTTATACCATGTCACGGTTTTATAGCTCAGCAAGATACATTTTAATATACACATCAGCAAGATGTGTGATTAGTATGATTATAAGATTAGTCCCTAGAAAATAGTTAGGCTGTGGTTGAAATGTTCTGCCCTTCCTCAATTAACTTGAATGTAAATTCCTTGTCAATCACTTTTGTTCCTTATTTCTAAGAATCATTGTTCTTCTTGGTAGAGGAAAAAAAATCAAATATGAGTTGAACAGCTCAACCTTTTCTCTATCATTGGCTGTTGCTATCCCATCTACTCTACCAGCATTGTTCCTTTCTTTTTGATCTTCCTCTTTCCCATAACTAAAAATATCCTTCTTGTTGTCCTTAATATTTCTTGCATTTCTCAGTTTATTCTGGGCTTCAGTGTACCTAATATTGTAAAAGAACTTTAACTTTTGTATTCATACTGTTACTTGCTCTTAATTCCATCTTTTTTATGTATCTTTACAGATCTGAGCTGGTTCTTTGAGTTTCCTATTTAGCTTGAGTAAGTTTTATGTGATTTTCTTTTCAAACTTAGCACTAGACATTTATAGAAGATTGTCCACGCCTCTTATTTTTATGTTCAAGGTGTCCCAAAAATTCTTAGTTCAGTTAAAGCTTAAAACTACACCAAGACTTTTGAGAAACTCTGTTATATAAGTGAAACCTAGCCAATTTGAACCTTCATTGAGTTTGGTTTTTACTGATTCAAGTCTTGATGGGAAAAAAAAGATACACATACACAGAAAATAAGCTCTATAGAAATTTATTTTAAAAAGAAAATTCTTGAGGATCAATACCTTTAGTTTTAGTCAGAAAAAGCTATGTCTATACCCATTTCCTGCTAATATTTAACCTTTCTACATATATAATATTTTATAGTGATGTATCATTTATTCAATCATGCATTTAGTATAATGTCATAGATTTAGAAGTAGAGGAAAACTTAGAGATCATAGCATCCAACATTCTCATTATACCTATCATTTGTCAGTGGTATACCAAGCAAGTAGAAGAGCCAGTATTAGAACCCACGGTCTTCATTCCAAAATCACACACTCTTTCTGCTACACTATTCTTAACATTGATTAAGCATTCCTGTGTAGAATGATGACACTGAGGCACATTGTAAGATATTTAGGTATCTAAGAATAAATTATGTTCAGTAAACTATGGAGGCCACCAGATTACTAATGCATTAAAAAGGATAAGATTTGAAGTGGCAAATAGTTCTTTTTCTTTTTTTTTTTCTTTTGGCTTAACTCTTAGCTTATTAGAAAAAGTCAGTTAAATTGAGTTCCCCATTCCCTAAGCACTCCAGCTAATTGAATTTGTGTAGTTCTAACTTCAGAATTCCATTATTGAATCATTGTATCTTTGAGCCTTAAGACATAGTAAATGAAAACTATATGAATTATTTTTTACAGAAATTATTATTAAATATAAAAACATATATGTATATCCCTATAGAGATACACATGTATATATTAAAATATATCTTAAGATCTGTGGTTTCATTGGTGTAGGTACTTCATTCAGTATCACAGATTGCAACATCTTAACAGGTTTTTGAGATCCTGTGACCAAAAAGAGTCATCTCTTGGTTACCAGTTAAGTTTTTCATAACTTAAATAGGCTAACCTTCAGATAATGGACATATGTTCTGTCGCTAGTGGCCCAAACTCAAAGCCTTTCCAGCTTACTAGGCTCTTTCGGAGCTTGTGTTTCTGGCAAAGCCTCTATGCCACAATGAGGTATCAGTGTAGGAGGTCAGTGGAGTGTGTATTTTCAGATATTAAAAAAACCTAAATATTGATTTTTAAAAATCCATCTTGATTGAGAACAGTCCATATTGGGGAAAAGGCTGAATCCACACATGAAATAACTTAGGAGATCCAGTTTGATTAATAAAGTTGAAACATTTATCAAGTGCTTACTGTGAACCAGACTAGATAAGAATAATCTGTAAATATTTGACAGTCACAAAAATTTAGCACTGAAAGGCACTTTTGAAATAGTCTATTTCAATTCCCTAATTTTTCTGATAGGAAACTGATGTCCAGAGAAGTGGAATGATTTTGCCCACACTCCTGTAGCCAAAGGACTGATTAGCACCCCAGGTCTTAGATTCCTAGTCTATCCCTATTCTTTTCACTAAACCATTTATCAGTTGTGTTTGTATAGCCACTTCCAAAGTAATTTAGTAAACTGGGTGATTACTCTCAAGTACTCTCAACTTTAACTCTTATAATTGTATTTATATGGCTAATGAATACCATTGGTAGTTTTTTGTTTGTTTCTTTGTTTTTTGTTAAACAAAGGTAATGTTCAGTCCAGACCCTTGGCTGAGTAACACAAATTCTGAATGAGTAATATAATTCCTTATTTAGTAGACTATTACACAATTTAAAAAAAAAAGTAACAACCTTAACCATTAACAAAATCAAGTAATTGAATCAATTATTACAAAAATTCGTACCAAAACAATAGTCTTTTTAGCCATGCTGAAACATTAGTGGCATCATATTCAAAGATTAAGAACAATTACATTTATAGTGCTTTTTAAGCAGTTTTAGTGAGGTGGGGTTTTGGATTTTTTTTGTTTCTAAAGCTAGAGTTTGTCATCAGAGAGACATTATTTTGGAACCATAACTTTATTATGAGTTATAACTTAGATAATTTATCTCAAAGGCTATTAAAATTAATTTTGAAATGTAGTCAGAGAGGGATATAGAAAATACCTAACATGGTCTGTTTGTTCTCAGGATTGGTTTTTCTTTACAGTTGATAGAATATATTTTTATCAGTGTTTTAATAGATGGGCTTAAATTCTTATTAAATCCGTATTTTAAAACATAATGGGCTCTGGAGGGAGCTTTTTTGGCGCCTCATAGATATTGACAAAGTGTTTCTTTATAATGTTTTAATTTTTTCAAGTATCTTACTGCTCGTTCAAGGTTCTCTTTTCAATAATAAAAAGGTGTAATGAAATGTTGTGACTTACACCTACCAAAATCTTGGAAATTCAGTTTAAGTCTCTAGGAGGTCTCTCTTAATACTGTATCCCTCTGTGCATGTGAGACTAGATGATGGGAGATACATGTGGCGAATGGCCCTATCACCAGGCAATGTGACATGCTATAAAAGAATGGATTCATAATTGTAATATTTATATTTTCTCCTGAGTTTAAAATATTCCCAAGTGGGCATTCAGTTGTTCAGCTCACCAAAAAGTGAGGTTTCCTTCTGGCAGGCCATTATAAAATCTTCAGATTTTATAGGATTGGTTTGGGGTTTTTTGAAGTAACTGTTATTCTGGTATTTGTGGAAAGTCAAATATTTATGCCAGATATAGTGTGCAAACCAATGTTCTTTATAATTTTTTCCCCAAAGATATGAATAGTGAACTTTTGCTGTAATATATGCCCACTTACCTGTACTAACCTTCTGGGCTGACATTCATTAAATTATGGTATTGTTCAGTACACACAGAGCACATTATTTACCTACAGGCTTCAGAGATAGTATTCTTTGACATTGTCAAAAGAGCTGAGCTCAGCCTTTCAGCCTTTAAGCCTGGCTTGCACAACAACCTTCAGTAGGGCACCCCCCCCCCACTTGCTGCAGGCCAAAGGATTTCAGGCAGCTAGCAAAAAATGTAGAGGAAAATATCCTTAGTATGTAGAGGAAATCCTTTGGCGTGCTGCAAACAGCCTGAGCTGGCTGCAGGCTGTGTAGGCCTGCGTTGACAAAGTAAGGGGTATTTGTAGAACCCTTAAAACTTTTCAAAGATAGTATTTAAATCAGATGAACACATTTAGGGATTTTCCTTGTTCCATATTCACTAGAGTAGACTTGTTTTTAGTGATGAAAGGTAGCTATAAATTGTTACTTGTTTTTCACAAATAGACTATTTACTTCTTTCTCATTTCCTTCTACCATATTTTATAATTATCCTCATTTTGCTTTATTTGAAAAAAAAAAGCTATGTGTTTTCTGATGTTAGAGAGATCGACACAAAGATTAGTATTAACTGATGTGATAATTTTTGTATTCGTTACCCTTTAACACTAGGAAAAAGTAGTGTATTTTTTTCCTGACATTGAAATTGTGTAAAAGCCGTGTGATAGTAATACTATATCCATTCATGCTTTAGAACCTTGGTTATTTTCTAAGGCTTCTTCTCTGCCCCCCTTCCCTCAGTGTTTGGTAGGATTCTACATAATGTGTCATATGTATAGCTTCAATTTATTCCGATTAACAGTTGTATTTCTTTCACTTTCTGTACTTCTAATGATGGTTTGAAATTTAAAATTAGAATGAATAGAAATTATGCAATATTATGGAATTTCTCCATGTGGTTTTTGTCTTTAAATGGGTGAGAAGTAGGCCTTTTCTTTAAACTATTACTTCTTTATATATACTTTGGTACTCTGTAAAGTGCTTTCTCTTTTCTTGTAGAAAAGGCAACAAATGAATATAACACCAGTGAAGACTGGGGACTTATTATGGATATATGTGACAAAGTTGGCAGTACTCCTAATGGGTAAGTTGATTGGTCATAGTTGGATATGTCTGAATCCTTTCCCTCCAGTGTGTAGTATGTCTCTTACAACCTGTTACAAATAAATGTAAGGAAAAGGAGAGCCTATTGAGGGCTGAGGTGTGAGGGGGAGCAGAGATGAAAGTAAAGTATCTTGAAGCTTAGAGCAAGTGGGAAAGAGCTGAACCTGCAGGTTTAGCTCCCCCTTTAAAGGGTGGAGGAAACTTGCAGACAATTGAAAACTGACCTTAGGAATTCATAATCTAAATATGGAACTATCTTAACAAAGGGTAGAGCTCATGATTTGGGGAATTTCTACTTATGCTAGGCATTCCTAGTAGCCTTCCACTAGGTTAATTGGATGATGGCAAGTAAATATTAGATATAGTCTTGGTGACCAGTCACTGACTAATCATACTTACTACTTGGATGAAATTTTTGTTAAACAGAATTTTCCATCTCAAAATCAACTGTTCTCGGGGAGGAAAAAAACAACCACCAGATAATGTTTTCATGCTAGATTCCTTATGTTTCTCTGTTTTGACTAGATCTCACCATCTACCCACAAGTGTTCTACTTCCTTGATCAAAAACTGACAGTTCTTTCTGACTAAAACTTCCTGTCATTCCATCTCTCCCTATGCCTCAGCCCTCCTTATTCTTTTTTTTTTTTCCTTTCGGTTTTAGAAAGAAATCTATTAGGTCATTTGATAGAGAGAGATCTGGAAAGAAGATATGGCTCCCTCCCGAAGTCTTTGTGAGGTTCCTTTATATAGAGTTCAGACAAGGGTTTAAGGACATTTGCCTGGTAGCCAGTAGGTAGTCTCCAGGAGAAGGGCAATTTGAGATCTATGTCAACAGGTAAGTCATTTGCATTTGGGGAACCCAAAACACAAGCTTTGGGTGGACTCAAAACAAGACGGGAACCACCCCAAAACAAGCACTGGCTGGGATCTAAGTATTCCTCACAGCTATCTGGAGCTTCTTTGAGTTTAGCCTGACCTCTGCAGTCAGCTTTTGGGTTTAGACAGTTTTCTAGCCACTTATTAGGTCGATAATATTAATAAAGGATTAATATTTCCTCCACAATCTCTTCTTTTGGGCTTGGATTCCAACATTCTCATGCAAGTGAAAACATAATTACAGAAGTGGAAAGCTGGGTTATGATTTTAAAGGTAGTTCATTAACATAACTTGACTCATTCACATCCTCCTCACTATGTGTCTTTTCTAGAGCCTGATAGAATCCCTTTAAGGAGGGGCAGTGGCTTGACTAGTGACAAACTTCTCCCAGCATCTCATAGTCAGCAGGGTCAGTTTGAGTCTCAGGGACTGTAAGTCAGAGCACTTAAACTTACCCTAGGAAATAAGCACACTGTGACCATAGGTATATTTCCTTCAGTGTCCTAAAAGTCAAACAAATGTAGTTAAGCAGAGTCATAATCTTACATGTCCTTTAAGGAGACAAACCTCGCTAAGCAGACTCTATAGGTAAACTAAATGAGGTTGCAGACTAAACTACATTTAGAAGGTTCACCATGTACTGAGAGGGGAGATTTACGTATCACCAAAGTAACCAAGAAAACTATGGTCAGGGAGATCTTCCCATACACAGTTAGCTAGGGAAATAACTGAATCATTTTAGGGAACTTAGACTTCCCTTTGGGTTCTACCTGAGGAACATTAGGAACAATTAACATTTTCCAGAAGTTGAATTTTGGTCAGGTGAGAGCCCATCTTATTCTTTACCCTCATCATGACCTCTAGTCCCTCTTCTCCTTAATATTTTCTAAGATTATTACCCCTATCCTCTACTCTCAAATCCCTCATTGCTGTATTCTTTTTCCACTCATCACTTGCCAGACCTTTTGCCTAGATCAGGTGTGGAGAACCTGCGGCCTTTGAGGCCACATGTGGCCTTCTAGGTCCCTGGGTGCCACCTTTTGACTGAGTCCAAGTTTTACAGAACAAATCCTTTAATTAAAGGGATTTGTTCTGTGAAGTTTGGATTCAGTCAAAGGGCTGCACTTGAGGACCTAGAGGGCCACATGTGGCCTTGAGGCTGCAGGTTCCCCACTCCTGCCCTAGATTATTCCTCCTTCTAGTCTCCCCTGTCTGTCCCCTTTACTTTTATGAACATGTTGTTGAATGGAGCTGGAGGTAGTCACATAACTTTTCTGACTGGGTCTGCCATTCGTTATTTTTATTTAATTTCAATTGGGCCCTCCCTGCAACAAGGCAATCTTTTTATCCTCGTCTCACTCCCCAAAGTAGCTTTCCTTAACTTTCTTTTTTCACCTCAAGCTTCCTATTTCTCCCTCTTCCCTGCTCTCTCAGCCGTGGACCTTGCCTCTTGCTTTACTAAGAAAATTGAGGCCATTAGCACTGAATTTCCTCTTCCTTGTAATTAATCTCAAAATCTCTTGATATTATCCCTCACTCTCTCCTCTCCTCTAGTCTCTGATAAGGAAATGGCTGTTCTCCATCTTCCCTGAACCATTAATCTCATTTTCTCCCCTCATGTCATCTCTAGCAGATTGCCCCCTCAGTCATCCTCCAATCCTTTCTGTGATCTTCAGCTTTTCTCAGTCAGCTGGTTTCTTCTCTATACCCATCTCCCTCATCCTTAAAAAACTTTATTTGACCCTACTATCTCTTCCATTAGGATATTGTCCTAGACTGATGTCTCTCTCCCTTTCTCAGCCATACTCCAAAAAAAAACTACTTGTCCTCATTGCTTCTCCTCTTGTTCGTCAGCTTTCTGCAGTTTGGCTTCTGACGTCATAACTCACCTGAAACTGCTTTTACCAGTTACCAGTGATCTCAGCATTTCCACGTTTGATGGTCTTTTCTCAGTCTTCATCCTTCTTGACTTCTCTAGTGCCTGTGACACTGTTAGTCATCTATTTCTTCCTCGTTCTGCTCTCTTTGAGGTTTTGTTGTTGTTGTTGTTGTTGACATTGTTTATTTCTTCTTTTTCTTATTTGTTGCTCGTGATTCATGTTATACCTCCTAAGTATGGGTATTCCCCAAGGTTCTGTCTTGGGTGCTTTCTCTCTCTGTTATTTCTTTTGGTAAACTCATCGGCTCGTATGAGTTTAATTTATTACCTCTATGTAGGTGACTTAACATCTGTATATTCAGCCTTAGTCTCTTTCCTGAGGTTCCATGGCACTAATTACGTAACCTATTGGACATTTCAAACTGTAAGTCCTGGTGACTTCACAAAAGCATCATGTCCAAGACAGAACTCATTATCTTTTCCTCCTAAACCTCCTGTTCTCCCAAACTTCTCTTTTTCTAGTATCACTGTGCTTCTAGACTCCCAATTTTGAAACCCTGGTGTAGCCTTAATTTTCTCACTCTTAACCCACACATCCTATCAGTTGCTCATAACATCTCTCACATCTGACCCCTTCTTTGCTTATACAGCCACCATCTTACATGAGGTGCTTATCAACTCTTGCCTAGAATATTGCAGTGGCCTCCTAATTGCTCTCCCTGATTCCAGTCTCTCCATTCTAGTCCAATCTCCATATGGCTGCCACAGTGATTTTCCTTAGTCAGACCAGGTCATTCCCTAATCAGTAAACTGCAGTTTGACTTTTAGAGCCCTTTGCAACCTGACCCCAACCTGTCTTTCCAGCTTCATTATATGTTATTCCCTTTCCATTACTCTGTAGTTTAACGAAACTGGCATTCTTTTTGTTCCTCACCTGTGGTGCTTTGTCTCCTGTCCCTGGGCCATATATTTCCCAACCTTCATACCTTCAGTGTGCTGTCTCTGTTTCATAGAATTCCTCTTATCCTTCAAGTAGCAGTTCAAACACTATCATCTACCAAAGCGTTTCCCTGTTCCTCCAATTGCTAGCGCAATGGGTGGAATGCTGGGCTTGGGGTCAAGAAAACCTGAATTCAAATCTGGTCTTAGCTATTTACCACCTGTGTGACCCTGGGCAAGTCACTTAACCTTTGCCTCCATTTCCTCATCTGTAAAATGGGCATAATAGCACTTCTGTCCCAAGGTTGTTGTGAGGCTCAAATGAGCTAATAATAATGCAACTATTACGATTTAATTATTGTAAAGTGCTTAGAGTACGTGCTATATAAATGTTAGCTATTATATGTACATATTGTTTCCCAGTAGATTGTAAACTCCTTGAAAGAAGGTAGTGCCTGGTACATAGTAGGAACCTAATAAATGCTTGTTGATTAATTTGTTGTCTGGCTCTGTCAGAGATGATTATTTCTCAGCATTGGAATGAGTACCCTGGGTTATGCTTACAATTAATACTCTGTTAATAGCCAAACTCTTTTCAGTATTACAGCCATAAGAAAGACTAAACAAAGAATTAACATACAAGATGCTTTATTTGTAAGATAGTAATTACCTAAAATGTTTTAAAAGCTTGCTCTAAATTCATAATTCACTTTGCACTGATTGGATTAGGGGAAAAGATAGGCACATATATGCATTAACATGCTTGTACAGAAATACTGAATTTACTTAATTAAATTTTTTCTCCATTTTTTCCTAGAGCAAAAGATTGTCTGAAAGCCATAATGAAAAGGGTAAATCATAAAGTTCCTCATGTTGCTTTGCAAGCACTTACTGTAAGTTGAAAGTAGCTTGTTATTTAATATGAATATTAAAAGTACATTTCTTTAAATTTTAGAAATTAAAATTTATATTTTAAAGTTATATTTTGAATATTATATTTCTTTTTAACAGCTTCTTGGAGCCTGTGTATCAAATTGTGGAAAGATATTTCATTTAGAAGTATGTTCTCGTGATTTTGCAACTGAAGTACGAGGAGTGATAAAAAATAAGGTAATTTTTGAACAAAGAAGTCTTAAAGATACTGTAGTAACATTGACTCCCCCCCCCAAAAAAACTCCACCATTTAAATCTCGAAACTTGTACACGTTTGATACATAACATTATTGAGGTGTAATTTCCATTTGCCATGGCGATTCAGCAAGATGCCTTTTAACATTTAGGTGTCATCCTGAGAAATTTAATATCTATGTCAAAGACTTTGTCTCACAGTTTATTTCTATCAGTGAGTAAAGAAAACAGTTTTAATACTTCAGTATAGGGGACATTAATTAAGCACCTGCTCTGTGCAAGACACTGTCAGACATACTGACTACAAAGACAAGAAACTTTATTGTCCCTGCTTTGAAGAAACTTACAGTATAATTTGAGGATGAAGCAAATGCAACATATACATGAATGAATATGATAGAATGTGACGAGGTGAAAGAAGTGCCTCGACACAGAATTTGAGGAGCATTCGCCTAAGGAGAGATCACTTTTAACTACTGTGTCAGGAAAAACTTTGAAGAGGAGAGGTGTCAGCAGGTAGAACTGAAGAGGGAGCGTATCCCAGACATGAAGAATGGCCTGCACATATGCCCTAACCTGGAAGTATCAGAGAGTCCTTGTTTTAATCCTACCTCTCTTAACCTCTCCAATGGTGCAAAGAAAGTGTTTAATGATCATTTTTGGCAAACACCAAAAGTTTTCACTCAAATTAATGTAATACAGCCCAGTAGCATATGTCTTAAGTATTTTTCTTGGGAATATGAATATAAAGTATAATTACTAAGAGGGTTACCATAAAAGATACATATTTCCTGTGATAAAACTTCAGAATCCATGTAATTTTGGAAGATACCATATCTTTTCTTTTGAGTTGTTTGATATTTAGCAAAAAGATGTGATGTATCAGTCAGCTGCCTGAGAGAGACTGTAAACTTTCTCACGTTTAATATAAAAGACAAGTTTCATGTTAAAATGGCTCAATATATATGGTCCATACACACACACTCACACAGTACATATATGATTCATTGTCATTTGTAATTTATGTATACATATGCAAGACTACAAAACTTGTTCTCTTTGCTGTCCTATCATATAAAAGGCTCACCCAAAAGTATGTGAGAAGCTGAAATCTCTAATGGTGGAGTGGTCAGAAGAATTCCAGAAAGATCCACAGTTTAGCCTGATATCTGCAACTATTAAATCCATGAAAGAAGAAGGAATTACTTTTCCTTCAGCAGGATTGCTGGTAAATCTAAAATTTACTATAGTGATTTGTAGAATCTTTCTTATGTAAAAGCATAAAAATGGTTTAGAGAAATTGGAAAAAATGTTGTTTTTGTTTTTAAAACAAAAAAACAAAACCCTAAACTAGTATTAATGAATGCATGCTATGTTCGAAGTGCTACATATGATACAAAGAATAAGATAGCCTTTGCCTTCATGGAGTTTATGTTCTAATTGAGAGATAGGGTATAGTCACATAAAAAGATAGCTAATAATATAAATCATTATATAGTAAATGATGAATTAGTGCCACAGAGAATAAGAATGAGAACACTTCAAACTGGTAACCCAGGAAAATTTTGTGAAGGATCTTATTTGGTGAAAGAATTGTGCAAACATTGGCATATCAGGAATGGCAGGTTGGCACCAGAGTCAGTGGTGGAGGGCAGTGTGTATAATTGAATACTGAACTGTGTCAAGACTGAAGAGGGAAGTAAGGACAATAAGAAACTGGGAAAATGGGGAGGATAGAGGAGCTTGATAATGTAAGTGTAAGCAGAGACAGGCATAAAAGGAATGAGTTTGGAGGAAGAGATGAAAGTTCAAGAGGTTATTATCAGAGGAATTTTAGAATTTAGAAGACATTTGACATTGACAAAAATATAGATGTTATGAGGTATTTCACATGCATGAATTTTTTAGATCATAGGTTTACCTCATTAAGACTTAAAACTTATTTATTTAATCATTTAAGATCAGAATCTTTCAAAAAATGCATGACTTACTTTTTTTGTCTTCTTAAGTAGAACATACCTGAATCTTTTATTTTTGTTTTTTTTTTAATTTATTTATTCTTAGTTTTCAACATTCACTTCCACAAGATTAAGTTCCAAATTTTCTCCCCATCTTATCCTCCCCCCCCAACCCAAGATGGCACGCATTCTGTATACCTCTTTCCTTCTATCTCTCCCCCCTTCTCTTATCCCCTTCCCCTTCTATTTTCCTGTAGGGCGGGATAGATTTCTATACCCCATTTCCTGTATTTCTTATTTCCCAGTTGCATGTGAAAACAATGTTTTTAACATGTGTTTTTAAAACTTTGGTTTCCGAATTTTCTCCCTTCCTCCCTCCCCATCCAACCTCATTGAGAAGGCAAGCAACTCCATACAGGTTGTACATGTATAGCCATGCAAAACACTTCCATAGTAGTCATGTTGTGACATGTTGTGTTGTGTTACGTTTCCTTCCATCCTATTCCGCCCCCATTTATTCTATTTTCTCTTTTGACCCTGTCCCTCCTCAGACGTGTTTGCTTCTGATTACTCCCTCCCCCAATCTGCCCTCCCCTCTATCATCGTCCTGCTCTCTTGTCCCCTTCCCCCTCTATTTTCCTGTAGGGTAAGATAGATTTCCATACCCAATTGAGTGTGTATGTTATTACCTCCTTAAGCCAAATCCTACGAGAATAAGATTCACTCATTGCCTCTCATCTGCCCCCATTTCCCCTCACTGTAACAGCTTTTTCTTGTCTGTTTTATGTGAGATAATTTACCCATTCTACCTCTCCCTTTCTCCTTCTCCCAGTATAATCCTCTCTCACCCCTTAATTTTATTCTCCAGATATCACCCCTTCATCTTCAACTCACCCTGTGCCCTCTATCTATCTATCTGTCTATATATATAATATAATTTTTTCCCTTCAACTACCCTAATACTGACAAAGGTCTCAAGAGTTACAAATATCTTTCCATGCAGGAATGTAAATAGTTCAACATTAATAAGTCTCTTATGATTTCTCTTTCCTGTTTACCTCTTCATGCTTTTCTTGAGTCTTATATTTGAAGGTCACATTTTCTATTTGACTTTGGTCTTTTCATCAAGAATGCTTGAAAGTCCTCTATTTCACTAAATGTCCATTTTTTTCCCCTGAAGGATTATACTCAGTTTTGCTGGGTAGGTGATTCTTGGCTATAATTCTATCTCCGTTGCCCTCCAGAATATTATATTCCATGCCCTGCGGTCCCTTAACGTAGAAGCTGCTAAATCTTGTACTATCCTGATTGTGCTTCCACAATACTTGAATTGTTTCTTTCTGGATGCTTGTAATATTTTCTTCTTGACCTGGGAACTCTGGAATTTGGCTACAGTATCCCTAGGAGTTTTCCTTTGGGGATCTCTTTGAGGAGATCAGTGGATTCTTTCAATTTCTATTTTGCCCTCTGGTTCTAAAATATCAGGGCAGTTTTCCTTGATAATTTCTTGAAAGATGTTGTCTAGGCTCTTTTTTTGATCATGGCTTTCAGATAGTCCAATAATTTTTAAATTTTCTCTCCTGGATCTATTTTCCAGGTCAGTTGTTTTTCCAATGAGATATTTCACATTGTTTTCTAATTTTTCATTCTTTTGTGTTTGTTTTACAATGTCTTTATTTCTCATAAAGTCACTAGCTTCCAATTGCTCTATTCTAATTTTTAAGGAACTATTTTCTTCAGTAATCTTTTGGACTTCCTTTTCCATTTGACCAATTTTGCTTTTTAAGGTGTTCTTCTCCTCATTGGCTTTTTGGACCTCTTTCGCCATTTGGGTTAGGCTATTTTTTAAGGTGTTATTTTCTTCAGCATTTTTTTGGGGTCTCCTTTAGTAAGCTGCTGACTTGTTTTTCATGATTTTCTTGCATCACTCTCATTTCTTTTCCCAGTTTTTCCTCTACTTCTCTTACTTCTTTCTCAAAATCCTTTTTGAGCTCTTCCGTGGCCTGGGACCAATTCATATTTTTCTTGGAGGCTTTGGATGTAGGAGCTTTGACTTTGTCTTCTTCTGGGTTATATATTTTGATCTTCTTTGTTACCAAAGAAAGATTCTGTGGTCTGACTTTTTTTGTGCCTTTGTTCATGATCCCAGCCAATTACTTGAGTTATAGACTCTTTGTTAAGGTAGGGGTCTGCTTCCAGTGTGGAGAATATACTGTCCCAAGCTTTAGGGGTTTTGTGCAGCTGTTCTCAGAGATACTTCTAGGGACCTGTAAATTTTCAGTTCTTCCAAGGTGCTATGATCAAGGTGTTTACTCCTTTCCTGGCCTGTGCTCTGGTCTGTGAGTGACCACAAGCACTCTTTTCTGTCTTGGAACTGTGAGGAGGATTTCCTCTCCACCACCACTACAAGCTCCACCATGCCAGCACTCCTCCTCGCCCCAGGACCACCACTTAGAACTGTGACCCAGATCCAAGCATGGCCAAAGCAAGAGAATCTTGCCTCAGCACCAGCAAAGAGATCCCTGTAATCCCCCTTTGATCAGCCACCCGATTCCCCCTTAGTCTGTGGGCTGGAAGCTCTGGAGGTAGCTGCCGCCTCAGGGCCACACTCGGGGACTGAGGCTAGGACCGAGCTTCCCTCTCTCACTGCAGTCGCAGACTTTTCCCACTGATCTTCTAAGTTGTCTTTGGCATTCATGGGTTTAGAAGTCTGGAAATTGCCGCAGCTGCCCATGATTCAGTCCTATGAGGCCTGCTCCAGGTTCACTGAGGCCTCTTTTGCCTGTGCGCTCACATCAAACTGTGCACCTCTCCCCGCCTGGCGTGATATGCCTTTCGATCAACCATCCAGGCTGTATGGGGCTGGAAATTTGTTTCACTCTGTCTTTTTGTGGGTTCTGCTGTTTTAGAATTTGTTTAGAGCCATTTTTCACAGGTATTTGGAGGAGTTTGGGGGAAAGCTCAAGCAAGTCACTGCTTTTACTCTGCTATCTTGGCTCTGCCGACCCTGAATCTTTTTCAAAATAACTTAGAGCCATTGTTATGAATGTGAATTATTAAACAATGAGTCCCTAAGATCTGTTGAAATTTACAGGGTTGTTTGCTTTTAGCCAATGCCTCTTGTGCCTCTTTTTTATTCTTTCTCTTGCATTCTTAGACTGTCTATTGTGTCATCAATGATTCTTTTTCTAGGAGTCCTATATCCTTTCCTCTCTAGTCTCACCACAGGAATGCATCCTGAATGCTTACTTTCAGGCAAAGCTTACTAAGTATCAATGGAGATACACTCAAAACAGTATAATACAAAGTCTCTTCCCTCTAGGAAATGACAGTTTTGTAATGGAAAAAAATTTTTTTGGCTATATGGCAGCAATTAGGATTATTGTGGGTAACTAGGTGGCACAGTAGATAGAGCACTGAGTTTGGAACTAGGAAGATTCATCTTCATGAGTTCAAATTCAGCCTTAGATACTAGCTATGTGACCTTGGGCAAGTCAATTAATCCTGTTTGCCTCAGTTTTCTCATCTGTAAAATGAGCCAGAGAAAGAAACAGCAAAGCAGTCCAATATCTTTTCCAAGAAAACCCAAATTGGGTCATAAAGAGTCTGATACGACTGAAAATGACTTAAATGGCAATAACATTATTGATTATGTTTTAGCATTATACTGGAAAATAACTTAGTCATTGTCAAGAACTTAATTTGTAATGAAAAAAATGATTACGATTGGCAAATTTGAAAACAAATCACTATTAAGTAATTTGTGGATATTTAATTTTCATTTTAAAAGTAGCTATGTTTATTTTGCCCTTGTGTAGACACTTTCAAATGCTGCCAAGAATGGTACATCATCCAACAAAAGCAAAGAAGATGAAGATATAGCTAAAGGTAATAAAAGTGTGTGATTCTTTATTAAAATTATAGTATTGACCTGTTTAGGTGCTTTCTTTCAGAGGCAGCATGAATAAGGTATTGGAGTTAGAGTCAGGAAGAGCAGGGTTGATATCCTACCTGAGACATGTGATAGCTGTGTGTCCCTCGCCAAGTGACCTACCCTCTTTGTACCTCAGATTTTTTAATCTGTAAAAAGAAAGAGCTGGACTTACTGTCTTCTAAGACCCCCTTCAGGTCTAAAAATCTATAAAATGGTAATTATAATAAAGCTGCACATGACCCTAAAAATATAAAAAGATCTCTGAGTCTGGGAAAAGAAATGACGTAGATAAAAATTAGCCCCATTATACTCATCAGTAATGTTGGATTTCATTATTTGGTGCGCTACCTTCAGATGGCTTACATTTAGCCTCTTTATATTCCAGTATACATATTATGTCAGTATCTTTATTTTATCACTATCTTCCTGATTTCGTCAACATTAACACTTATTTCTGGTAAAAGTGAGTAAAAACTTCAGCTGCATGAAACTATTTATAGATTTTGTACTATATGGAAAATTATCCAGACTCACAGTAACAATCCATCTTGTATCTTTAAAGATGTGGACCTTAGTTGTTAAACATAAACCAGTAATCATCAGAAAATTTATTTCCAAGGGAATTTTCTAGCTATTTCTCTGTCTGAATGAAAGCTTCATTGTATATTAGCATGATTCCTGTTAAATATTAAAAGGTATATGAAACCACCTCTTTATTTTATTTCTGTTGTAAGTTAGCTAATTACAGAAAGTTAATTGTTGTTTTTTATTTTAAAATTTCCAAACTAGCTATTGAATTATCTTTGCAAGAGCAGAAGCAACAGCACACAGAAACGAAATCCTTATATCCATCTGCAGAAATTCAGTTGAATAATCATAAGATTTCTAAAAAAGTCAGAGCCTTGTATGATTTTGAAGCAGTTGAGGACAATGAACTCACCTTTAAAAGTGGTGAAATTATTATTGTTTTGGATGACAGGTATGTTTTAAATCTTTGAGTTCTCTGGATTTTGATGTAACCATTTAGCAAATTGCAACTTCTGTCTTTCGGTTTCCTTCCATAAATGTTGTTTCTCTTAAAAACATCTTTGTAAAACATTTTTAGTTGTTGGATGAAAAAACAATATAAATATGAAGTATTATTTGTGGCCACATAAAAACAAAGATATTTACTGCACCAAGTATGTCTATGTTGGGAATTATGCATCCAAAATTACTTGGCAGTAAACTTCAGAAAAGGAAGTTTAGGTAGAGAAATTGATTGATGCTGGAATAAATTACACTGCTTACTTTTACTTTTTTGAAGATTAATTTTAGTAGGAACATGATTTTGCCTCATAACATTAAATAGTGAAAAGAAGTTGTAATAGTTCTAGTGATTGTTGTAAATGAACTAGCTTGAATGGGCTAGTCTGATTTTTTAAATGGATAGATATAAAAATTATCTATAATGGATTGGGTACCTATTGTATGGAAGATTTTATGTTAAACACTGGCAGATAGAATTATTAAATAATTCTTGCCTTCAAGGGACTTAGTATAGTACAAAAGAATATTGAATTTGGAGTCAGATCTAGGTTCTGCTAGTTAACTCTTAGTGTGACCTTGTGCAAGGCACTTCCAGTGCCTTGCCTTTTCTGGGCCTCAAATTCCCTATATGTCACATGAGGCAGATGTATCCAGTGACCTGTAACTTTCCTTTTCCGAAATATATGGTCCTGTGAGTAAGCACACCAATAGCCCTCAATAACTATAAGGGAAAACATGGTAATTACCGTAAGAGAAATATAAATAAAGTGATGTTGGGGTTCTGAAGTCCATATAATAATATTTGTTTGAGGGGATTAGGAAAAAAACTTGTGAAAGAAGTAGTTCTTGATCCACTTTTAAGGATGGTTTGAATTTTGACAGAATAAGAACACATTAGAGACAGGGAACAGGGAGTAGGCTAGTTTGTCTAAATGGAAGAGATCCATATTAGGTGAGGTACTTTGAGAGACAAGATTAGAAGGCAGGAGTGAGGCTAAAGGTTTGAAGGCTCTAAATGCCATAGTAAGGAATTTGGATTTGATTTGTTAGTGCTTTTGAGCTGGGGAATAACTTTATATGAGTTGTCCTTGAATGTACGGTTTATTTCCTCTACATTTTTTAGTCCCTTGTTATATGTTCTCTTGTCTAGCGTACGAGGTCATACAAAATAAATACTGTACTTTAACGTCCATAATTACTGAATGCTATATTCAAGTCATTGCCGAATTCTTGAGGAAGTTTCAGCTGAATCTTGAAAATAAACACAACCATCTGCCTGACCATTCTGAATTACCTCTCTTCAAAAATAAATAACATTCAAATGCTACTTAACTCAGATTAATTTCAGAGACTAATCAAGCCCGGAAGAAAAAGGGGGGAGGGAACATATGAAAGACCTGCAGAATGTGGAATGTTATATACACTGTCGGGGCAGTGTTTTTGTTTATTTGAGTTTTGTTCAAATTTTCCTCTGTTACAAGGGGCGATTCATTTGGGGGAATGAAGGATATCTTTACGATTTTTTTTTTTTTTTGGCAAAATTATTTTTCAGCATATTGGAAGTTGATGCATCTTTAACAGTATCCACTAAATCTAGTATCATAGTATGTGGACCAGTATTTCCAATAGATTTTTTATACCTCTTATTGTTTCAGTTCTGCTTATTGTTACTATGCGTAGAGTTAGAACAAAGCACTAACAACATTTTTTATTTTTACTTTTTTATCTTCAGTGATGCCAATTGGTGGAAAGGAGAAAATCATAGGGGAGTAGGACTTTTTCCATCAAATTTTGTATCACCTAATTTAAACATAGACTCTGAGATAGGTAAGTTAAATGTTACAGAAAATTAAATGTAATATTTTATTTATATTATAATTGTATACTATAGTTTTGATTATAAAAATAAATTAGTGTTTGATATCTTTTAAATCTTCCATTTCAGACATTAAAATTTGATCCAGTTATTATCCAGGAATTGCTACTATTCTGGCATAGTTTTATCATGTTTCCTTGCCAATGATGCCTTTAAAATAGTTCTTATAAGTAAAGTTTAGTTTGAGAATTGGGCTTACAACCACTATGTCATCATCCATATATTTAAATTGGTCATGGAAATACCTAATTAACTAGGGCAAGTTATAATTTATTTTAGAAAATAGAAAAATTAAAAAAAAAAACAAAAACAAAAAAAATAGAAAAATTGTTGATTTTATTTATTTCTTACTCCTCTGTGGCTGTGTTGGGAAGCACAAAGAGAGGTTGGTAAATTTATGGTATTTGTACTGGATGGGATGATATTATAAACGAAACTAAAACCCTGTTTTAATGTGTGTGGTTGTAGTTACTATTTTATTTCCTTCGAACAGTAGTGATGGACATCCCTTCCTCCCCTTTCCCCCATTAACCTCTACCAGCCATTCTATAAATGCATGCCAGTTGTTATAAGGGTGGCCAAATAAGAGAATATGGATAAATAATCTATCACCAGTATTGGAAAAACAACTCAGACCGCATGCTGCCAGTTGTAAGTAATGGCCTTTTTGCATATTTATGAATGAGTCAGGAGCTAATTCCTGAAATCCATACTTTCCTTTAAGGAAAAGAGAAATAGGTGCTTCTCTGAGCACTTTATTCTTTCCATTCTTTGCCTCTTCCATGCTTCCATTCTGGCTTTGTCGGTAATAGGATGGGAAAAGCAGCTCATTGAAACTTGCCACTTACATAGTAGGCCTCTTATGAACTCACCCTTCCCTGGGAACAAGATGAAAGAGAACCAGTACTGTGTTCTGAAAGGTAAAAATATCTGGGGCCTATGGATGCACTAGATGTTATACATAGACCTCTAACTTCTCTGTGGAATATATCCTATTACAATGAACTTACAAAAGACTACCCTAGCTTTTTCGTTGTGTTAGAATTTTGTTACAACATTAATTTTTAAATGTATATATATCAGGAATCGAAAATTATACAGAATTTTTCATTGTAAAGGTATTTATCAGGATTTAATTGTATAGTGGAGTACATTATATAATAAGACTGATACACACACACATGTAAAACTTACTAATGGTTGTTTTTCAGACTATTTTTTAGAAGTGGACAGATGTAAACCCTAAATAAATAGACTAAATATTATTTAAACATATTTATTGTTCACAAAGTAAGTTTTTTGGCTTAGATAAGTTGTATGAGTTAATTTTTTAATTTTTGTCTAGCCTCACTTCATACAGTAAATAGAATTGTGGATATTAAGAAAAGTCTAGATTGTTCCCCACTCTTTTGAATCTTCAGTCTCTCACTATTAAAAAGTTACCTTCCTGTTGTGTTCAAACACTTTCTCCAAGTTTAAAAAACTTTTACCAGACCCTCCTTTCCCCTCAAATAATTTTCTTTAAGTGCAGACCTGATGACCATGTAACAGTCCCACTCAACCAACTCCAGCGATTTCCTGTTTGCTTTCAGATGAAATATAAACTCCTCTGTTCAGCATTCAAGTTCCTACACAGGCTGACCCCTTCTCTTTTTAGCCTCATTCTCCATCTGTTACTCTTCTGTCTAGACAAACTAGACTTCACTCTGTTCATAATACTTGGTACTGCACTCTCTTTACTATACTTGGAATGCACTTTGCCTCACAGAGGAATTTTCCTTTTAAGGTGCAGTCCAGGCAGCATCTGCTGCGTGAAGCCTTTCCTGATCACCCAGCTGCTCATTTTCACCCTCCCTACCTATATTGTATTTAATTACTTTTTGCTTGTGTCTTTATTAACTTTGTACTGCATATGTTTTTGTATGTACTTGCTTTCCCTCTTCCACTCCACTGGAATGCAAGCTCATTGCAAGAAGAGATTGTTGTATTCTTTGTTTTTAAATACTTAGGGCCTAACACAGTGCTGTGAAACATAGGTGCTTGATACTCACTTATATATTGTCAGTCAATCAGTCAGTAAGCATTTATTAGTCTCCTATTATGTGCCAGGCATTGTGCTAAGTTCTGTGGATACAAAAAAAGGCAAAAGACAATCCCTGTTCTCAAGGAGTTCACAATCTGATGGTGGAGACAACAAGCAAACAAATATGTACAGACAAGCTATATACAGGATAAATAGGAAATAATTAACATGGAGAAGGCACTCGAAGTAAGAGGAATTGGGAAAGGCTAAATATTGAAACATTCTCAATTTTAGGAGAAGAATTCAAATCATTTCCCATATAAATGTTAATTTATTAATAAATTAATGAATATAATACCAGAATTAATGTTGAGGAAATTAAAATTTGATTCATCTTTTTGTAGCGGCTGTGGACAGAACAAATGTAATTGATGATGCTGTGGAAGAAATTAGAAAATCAGAGCCTGAACCAGTTCATATAGATGAGGTAGAATCCTTTTAATCATCACTCTTTTTATATAATGTGTTTTCTATTGCTTGACAATGTTGGAAGAGGAGTATTTTTCTGTTCCCTAAGGTGAAAATTCTCTTTACTCTTTAAGCATCTTCTTTCTGTTTTTAAGGATAAGATGGATAAAGCACTGCAGATACTCCAGAGTATAGATCCTACAGATTCAAAGCCAGATTCCCAAGATCTGCTGGACTTAGAAGGTATTTAATGGATATTAGAAAAGAATTTAGCTTGAGAAGAAGTGGTCAGGTAATATTGAGTGTTCTAGTTTCTTGTTTCTTCTGGCTTGTGTGTGCTACTAGAGATATGAGTTACTTTTTGAGGATGAGGATGATCATGTTAGGGCAGGATAATAATACCAGCATCGCTTTGAAATTACTATCATATGTGGACATACTCATGAAGAAGGGCTAACTTATACTTGCTCTCTACCCTTCCGGTAAAGTTACCTGGAGAGATTTGAGGTCATAAAAGGGCAGAGAAAGAAGTGACTTAGTGAATGAGATAGTCTTAAGAAATTTTGGTCTTTTTGCAGTCAGTAACTTGAAGGTTAAAGAGGTACATGATTCATTTCAGAGTTCTATAGTTTTCCCTAGGAAAACTGCATGTGCACTTTAATAAGCAATTTTACAAAAATTTGAGGGGGGGAGAATGGGAGATAGTGAGTATGTGAGATAAATTACATTTTATGGTTTTGGCATATGATATTTTGTGGCTTATTTTAATTTTCCTTTGGGGAAAAATCTTTATGGTATCTATAAATGGTCAGCCTTTTCAGTAGCTGGAAATTAGCTAATGAGTAACAGAATGTTGTTTCAGTTATTGGAGAAATGTAAAATAGTTTGAATGACCAGTATAATTCATAAGTGTGACAATAAAGGAATTTTGTAGCTCATCTGTACAAGGTTGCCTTCATGGTTATATATTTTTTGCAGTGTGGCTCAGGTTTCTTCATTTTATTTAGATAAAATGTCTTGCAAGGTATTTTTAAGGCTTTGGAATGACTCCAAATTTTACAATTTATAAGTTCAATTAGTAACTCCAATTAAATTATAAGGTGGTGACATTTTAATTTTAATTCTGGCTTGGCTTTTGTGTCATGTTGTATAGATGTTAGAGGAACATAACAATGAATTAGGTCTTCTGCAGTCCTTTTTTGCATATAAAATTGGAAGACAGATTTAATTCTGCATGTACTGTGTGTTCTGTATTGTAACAAAACAGGTTGAAAACTTGTTTGACTTGGTCATATTTAAAGATTTATAAGAGGTCTTATATTTACAGATGTCTGTCAACAGATGGGCCCTATGATAGATGAAAAACTTGAAGAGATTGATAGGTAAGCCACACTTATTGATATTTTTCTTGTCAAGATTAAAAAGTGTAATTTTTTGATGTTTCATGGATATTTTGCTAAATGTGACTGAAGAAAATGTATTTTTAAAATCATTTTTCAGTTAACCATACTTACGCAAGATATAAATGTAGAACCCTTCTGTAGTACTTTTTCAGTGATTATTAATATTATTATTAGAATTATGGAATCTTTGTTACTCATGCCAATTATACAGGAGCACAGTTGGGATAACACTGATGCCTTTGTTCTTTTTGATGCTGGGGTAGAAGTGGGTAATGAGAAGTGAAGGATAAAGAGGGAAGTGAGTGTCAAAATGAGAGCAGAAAAAGGAATATCATGAGAAGTTAGGCAGATACTGACTTGTTATATAATAACTGCTAAGCTTCAGTTAGAATTTTCCTAACTTTGACCTGTTTTCATAGTGATGAGAAGAATTTTATAAAGTCCAAGGAAAATTCAAAATATTATTCCTTCACTGTCATTATCACTTTTCATTGATTCTCTTTCTCCCTGTATTACCTTTTGTGGTCCTCCCTACCATCTCCTTTGTCTTAGAGTGTGGGGAGAATGTTATTGTGCCATTACTGTAGTGCAAATTGGGGATGAAGAAACTTCATGCTCCAACTTTATGGATTGATGAAGAAATCAGCACACACAGAAGGAAACTTTACTGACTCTGAAATCAAAGGGATGTAGGTTCAGATCATCTGCCTCTGACATGACCTCTGTGATCTTTAGCAATTTACGTAACATTTCTGGGCCTCAGTTCCCTCCTTTTTAAAATGGGGGCATGGAACTAGTTAAGGATCCTTCCAGCCCTTAGATCTGTAAGTCTGTGATGGATTAAGAATTGAGTAAACAAGAATTGCCTCAATCCTTACCAATTTGAATTTGCCAACTTATTGGAGTATAATAGCAACAAAATTCTGAATGCCAAAGGTAGACTTTTGGTACAGGGGTATTTAAGAAACAATTTCTCTGGATTTTCTTTACAAGTTAAAAACAAATGGCTTTGTGCATATTATAATTTTCAACTGTCACTTTTATAATTTGGTAGCATTGGCAGCTAGGTGGTGCAGTGATATAGCACCGGGCTTGGAGTTAGGAAGATCTGAGTTCAAATGTGGCCTCAGACACTTACTAGCAGTGTGACACTGGGCAAGTCTTTTAACCTTATTTGCCTCAGTTTTTTTCATTTGTACAATGAGCTGGAGGAGGAAATGGCAAACCACTCCAGTATTTTTGCCAAGAAAGCCTGAAATGGAGTCATGAAGAGTTGGGATTGACTGAAACAACAGCATTTTTATCTGTCAGTTTTTTTGTTACCATTTAGAAGCAAGTATTAAATGTTTACTTGTGCATAGTACTTGCTAATTGGGATTCAGTTTTGATTTCTTAGGTAACAGGTATTACAAACGTAAAGCATAAATCTCAGTCAGGTCACTGTCATGAGTCACTTCCTTTTAAACCAGTTAACAATTCTTTTTTTCATAGCTGCAGTCTTCTCAAATGGTTGCTCTACAAGCAATTGCTAAATGAGAGGATAATCTTTCCTTACTTCTAGAGTACAAATATTAAGTGCATCTGGTGATGATAGAGAACTTATTTCTACTGAGAGCATTGTGTTAATTCAAAAAAAACAGGTTGTATTCTTGCTATATGCAAGAAAATGTGATGGTGGTATGGGGAATATAAAGATAAGTATTGATCAGCTCTGGTCATCAGAAGCTGACATTCTACCTGGAGAGTTAATAGGTATGCAAATAGTGGTGGTGTTCATTCATTTTAGTTTTGTTCTACTCTTTGTGACCCTATGGACTTCTGTCCCTGGGGTTTTCTTGGCAAAGATTACTGGAATGATTTGGCATTTCTGTCTTCAGTGACAAGCAGAGGTGAAGTGACTTGCCCAAGGTCACACAGCTAGGAAGTTTCTGAGGTTGTATTTGAACTCAGGTCTTTCTGACTGTAAGCCCAGTGCTCTAGCCCAGTGCTCTCTCCACTGCATCACCTAGCTGCCCTATAGCTACCTCACAGATAGTGGTGATAGAAGATAATACAAGATAAACAGTATTGCAGGTGTAGTAGAAAGTACTTTGTGAGTTCATTAGGCAGAAAAATTACCTCTTCCTGGGAAGACCAGACAAGGTTTTATGCAGAAAGTAGTATTCAGACTTAGCCTGAAAGGATGGGTAGGATTTGGACCAAAGAGAATGGAAAGAGGAAGGGCATTCTAGGCAGAAGGAATAGTGTGAACCAAGGCATGTAAGCATGAAAGGGGAGGGAACTCCTGAATAAATTTGTTTGACTGGAGTCCGTGAATGTGAGTACTGGAAAATAAGACTTAAAAGGTAAATCACAAAAGCCTTTAAGGCCAACCTAAGGAATTTGTACTTTATTCGTTAGGCAGCCCTTGAAGATCTTTGAACACAAACATTTGATTAGTTTTGTGCCTTAGGAGGTTTATTTGGTAGGGATATCATGTAAGCTACATTAGAGGGGAAAGATTAGAGTCATGAGACCAGTTAGGAGATTGTAGAATGAAAGAATCTCAAATGGATAGAACCTCAAAAGTCATCTCATCTGTTGCTAACCCAAAACTTGAGTCTCTCTACAAATCCTTGATATGTGCTATCCTAGTCTAGGACTTCCAGTGAAGGAAGAATAATATCTAAAAGCAGACCATTCCGTTTTGGAACAACTCTTTATTGTTACAAAATTGTATTGAGTTGAATTTGCCTTCTCTGACAGTCTATGAAAGAGGTAATTTGGGTTAGAACTAGGTGATGGAAATAATGAGGCAAGCACAGATGAAAATGATAATAAGGAATCAACAAGACATGCTGACTAACTTAGGTGTGGGGATTAAGCAAGAGGGAGATGTTAAAAAATGAGTCCTAAGTTTTGAAGCTGCATCACTGGGAATATGGTGATTCAGTTTATGGAGAAAGAGAAATCAAGACAAGCCTTAAATTTTAGATGCTCTATTTTGGACCTGTTGAATTTGCGGTACAGCAAGAAGGGCATCTAGAATAAGCCATACTAAAGGAAGTTAATGTGAATTTTAGCCCTGGGAATGTGGTAGTGGGTGTCCTATGTAATTAATATAATTGTAGGATGGGAGCAAGAAGGAGAAATTATGTTAATAATGTAAAGAAGTGGTGCAGACTAGAAAAATAAGTTCAGTAAAGATTTAGATCAATTGTTTGACAAAGAATGCAACCAATTCCACTCTGCCATCATACTTATTTGCCACTCATCTCCCCTACATTTGCCCTTGATTTTGCTTGAGTCTGTCATCTCACTGATCTATCTTTTGTTCACTTCTGCTTTTTCACCTTCAATCCTCAAGTTTTATTCTTTAGTAACCAGCTTACATCATAACTCCATGAAGGAAGATATGTATTGGACAGTATGTGTTTCTCATTCACTTTGTTTTTAGTATGTAGGTAATTAGAATAAGCTCTTTTACAATACTGTAAATTTTTCTAAGGAGTCATTGTAGTTTTCAGTGAAGTTATATACAATCATTTGCATTTAGGACAGTTTGGAGAACCATGTCATCAACAGGGAACTTTTTTTTCCCCATTTGGAACTTATGCTTGACATCTTCCATGAAACTCAGGAATACCTTTGATAAACAGATATTAGCAGATTGTTGAACAAAATAGTCTGTCATCATTTCTGTTGTAGAGTCTTCAAAAATATTATTTATGGAAGAGAGAAATCTCTTGAGGAGAGCCTTTAAAGCTCCATTTTATATTACTGAGTAAAATGTTTTTCTTAAAATCCATAAACAATAATAATAGCTAACACACGTGTAGTTCTCTAAGATTTGAAAAGCATGATTAATTTTTATTATTCTTGCTTGTGTATAGATCATTTTTACTAATGTGTCTGGACATAGAAAAGTAGCCATATGGATTAGTTGCAAAAGAACTTCTTGAAACCCTTGCAGTCTATGAAATTTACATATATTTACACAATGTTAAAAGGGAACCGTTGCTAGTTTCCCTAGAAAAGAATCTGCCCCAAATAAGCTGATAAGACTGGATTTGACTGTTTAGTTTAGAATCAAAACTGTCCACATTTGAGGATTTGGTTACAGTAGGAATTTTTTATGTATTCCCATTTCTCTACCTAAAGAAAAAAAAAGAAACCTCTCGCTATTCATGAATAACAAAGAACAGTTAGTAGATTCATTTACTTAGGGTCTTATTTTCACCTGAATTATCAAAATTAATCCCTTATTTTAGATATGTTTTATCTTCTTCACACCACTAATAGTTTTTTAATAGTATTTTATTTTTTCCAATTACACTCAATGATAATTTTTAACTTTTTTTTTTTAATTTTGAGTTCCAGATTTCTCCCCTGCCTCCTTTCCCTCTTTCTCCCTAAAGTGGTAAACAATTTGATATAGGTTATATGTCATACCACTAATAGTTATTAATAAATGAAAGTGTTTAAGTATGTTTTCCTTTCACATGTATTTCATTTCATACCAAGGATCAAGGCTCATTCTGTTCTGCCCTATACTGGGATCTGTAATCAAGACCAGGAGGTCTTTATTAAACCATCAAATCATTGTTGTTCCTAATAGAATTGTTACTTAACATCTGTTATATATAATTATCAAATATTTGTGATGCAAGAAGGATAAATTGATTGCTGTCTCTTAGGAGTTTGCCATGATATTATTACATCGTCTCTATTATGTTATGATAGACTACAATTTTAAGGCACAAAATGATCTCCAGAATTAGATATTTTAAGAACTGAAAATTGTAGATGAGTTATTTTTTCTCCCTATTTCCTTACTGACTCTTTTAAGTTAAGACTTTTTTAACTGTGCTAAGTTTTAAAAATAAATTGTCTAGCAGATGAAATAAGGACATAAAGCACTTTTTGTCTTTTTTTTTTTCCTAAAATAGGAAACATTCAGAATTATCTGAATTGAATGTGAAAGTCCTAGAAGCTTTGGAACTATACAACAAGTTGGTGAATGAAGCACCTGTGTATTCGGTCTACTCAAAGCTCCATCCTCCAGCACATTATCCACCTACATCGGCTGGTGTCCCAGTGCAAGTGAGTATACCTTGGGAGGGGGTCACTTATTTATCTGTTACGGGATTTTGTTTTGGTTAAAGGCAAGCTAAGTATTAAGACTATCCTTTGCAGTGTTAAACTGTACTAACTACATACAATTTTTAAATTTAGAATTAGATATTAAGATTTCATTAATCATATTAGTTTTCTAACTTGAAAACAGATTTTAAATGTAGAAGGTGATAGACTCTTTTGATTTATTAAATGTAATTGTTGCACAAACACAGTCTTTGGGTATTTGTGAATTATATTGATGGACCAGGATAAATTGTCAGCTTTTCTTGGTCTGTAAATAAATAAAGAAAGACCAAAATAAAGTTTTAAAATCATTAAACTTGTTCACACAGTGTGGAGTAAAAAAAATAAGTTGTATGACTATGAAGTAATGAGACTGATTCTACCAGCCATGTAAAATAATTAACCCCCTTTTAAAGCCTTTTCAAACAAATATGTCCAGTAATTACATTCAAAGTGAGCTTGGATGGACAAAGTGTGTGTGGTTTTTAAACAAAAAAAATATTTTTAAGTTCCAAGCTGTTCCCTCCTTCCCCACCTTGCACTTGAGAAGACTGCCATTTGACACAGATATAGAAATATGTAAGACCATACTAAGCATACTTCTGTTTTTCGGTTCTTTCTCTAGAGGTAGATAGCATCTTCCGTCATACGTCCTTTGTAGTTTATTTGAATATTTATAATACTCAGAATAGCTTGGTTGTTCACAATTATTCTTGGAATAATATTGCTGTTACTGTATCTAACATTTTTCTTGGTTCTGTGCATTTTACTGTCCATAATTTTGTGTAAGTCTTCCTATGTTTTTCTAAAATCAACCTGCTTGTCATTTCTTACAGTGTAGTGGTATTTCATCACAATCGTATACCACAACTAGTTTAGCCACTCCCCAATTGATGGGCATCCCCTCAATTTCCAGTTCTTTGATGCCACAGAGACTGCTACTATAAATATTTTGGAACATATAGGTTACATATTTTACCAAAACAAAAATGGAAGTCTCCTTCAGACACTACGGAGAAAAGGTAGAATGTAGGTACATAATATAGGTGTGTTTTACATGATTATTGTTTAGTGAAAAAAGAATAGTTACTATGGTAACTGCCATATCATAGAAAATGTACTTGACCAATATGTCATGCTGTCCGTTTTTGAAAATGTTGAAAAGTTTATTACATTTGTAGCTCGAAAGGAGTTCTGGGTACAAGAGGCAACTGAAGTTTATTCCATATCATAATTGTTTTTCAAAGATGATGCTTGCTGCTGTTAGAAAAATGGAACAAAGCAGAGTTGTGGCACAGTGGATAGAGCACCGGCCTTGAAGTCAGGAGGATCTGAGTTCACATCTGGTTTCAGACCAGACACTTGACACTTGCTAGTTGTGTGACTCTGGGCAAGTCACTTAACCCCAATTGCCTTGCCAAAAAACCAAAAACCAAAAACATCTAATAAACAGAGTTGTCTACACTGTTGTTAGATAAAACTGTATGTCATTTTTGTAACCATCAATCCCTGAAAAGGAGTGTTTTCCAATCTAGCTTTTGTGTTTAGCTATAGTACTGATTTTGTTTCCAGATTTTTCTAAACACAAATCATTTTTTTAAAGACAACCTTCTATGAATTTGATTTGCCACATTGCCCTGTAAAAGGTGCTGTTCCTTCTCCATACTGCATTCCAGGAGTGTTCCTGCAAAAGAATATCAGAGATGCTCAAAGGACCCTGTTATTTGACTACCTTTATCTGTTTATTCTAATTTCCAAAATACATACACATATTTATTTATTTCTGTATGAAAAGCAATTGAGTTAACACCATTAGTTATACTTGTGTGTGTGTGTGTTATATGTATGTGGCAGCAGTGTAGAAGAAATCCATTTTGCAATCTCAGCTTGCTCTTGATGGATTGTTGAATGATTGCTGTGGAAATGACAGAGTTGCACTTGAAGATTCTCATTTGGTACAGAAGTATAATTTAAACCAACATTAATTTTAAAAGTTAAAAATATTTTGCAGGTGCAATCTGTTGCAGCAAGAATAGGGAAATTTAGGAGAAGGATCCATTTGTACAAGGGTATTTATAGCAGCTCTTTTTTTGGTGACAAAGAATTGGAAATTGAGGCAATGCCCATCATTTGGGGAATGGCTAAACAAGTTGTGGTATGTGATTGTAATGGAATACTATTGTGCTATAATAAATGATGAGCAGGTGGATTTCAGAAAAACCTGGAAAGACTTACGTGAACTGAAGCGAGTGAAGTGAGCAGAACCAGGAGATCATTGTACATAATAACAGCAATATTAGATGAACAACTGTGTTCAACTGCTCTTTTCAGCAAGACAATGATCTAAGACAATCCCAAAGGACTCATGATGAAAAATGCCATCTACCTACAGAGAAAGAACTGATTGAGTCTGAGTGGAGACCAGAGCATAATGTTTTTCATTTTCTCTTTCTCTCTTTTTTATATTTTTGGTTTAAGTTTTCTTCCACAAAAATAACTAATATGTTTTACATGATTGCCCATGTATAACCCATGTCAGATTGCTTACTGTCTCAGTGAGGGGGGAGGGAGGGAAGGAAGGAAGGAAGAATTTAGAACTCAAAATTTTTAAAAAAGTTGATTGTTTTTACATGTACTTGGGGAAAAATAAAATACTAAAAAAATAGGCAAATTTAGAGTTGAGAGAATAATCATTATTTGCTATTTATTAAGCACAGATACTTGTACGTGTATGCTGTATGCAACAGAGAATCTTCTTCAAGGAGTTTTTTCCTCTGAAATTGGATTAACAAAACAAAACTAAACTAAAAAAAACCCCAAAGCAACTGTTTGGCTAAAATACCTTATAGCTTAATTATTGCCAATTTTAATAAAACTGGAAACCTTCAACTGTTGACTTGTGCTAGTTGTTTTCATTCTAGATTGAATGTCTAGTTAGTAGAAGAAAAGAAGGAAAAGGTTGGAGAGAAATCATCTGCATGGGTCTTCACCCTATCTATAAGGACATCATTACTTTGTTAGCTTCTTCTTTGGAAGGGAGGGGCTGTGTGGGTCACAGCACAGGCATTCAGTTCTAGTGGCATAAAGACTGAAAGAAGTGATGGTCCTTCCTTCCCTTTGAGGGAGTACACAATTTTGTGTGACTTGTCAGCGAGTCTTTTTTCTAACAAGAGGCAGCTTGGATGGACTCCAGCAGAAAATACCTTCCAGCCCTCCACTTACAAAAAAACCAACAATAAAACTAGGCATAGGCTTGGCACTAGGACTTGGAAACTCGCCATTGAGGGAGCTTACAAAATCAAATACCACACGCTTCGGAGTAGGTAGGTTGGTAGAAGAGACTTAAACTACCTATACTACTACAGTATTTTTGTTTCATTGATTTTTTTTTGTTTAAATCGAAGTCCCAGAAGCCACTGAATAAAAGTTTTTTGTTTGGTTAATAGGCATATCCTGGCCAACACCATGGTGGAAACTACATGGTTCAGGGCATTCATCAAGTCACCATTCCCCAAGGATATAGTCTGGGGCCAGATCACATTGGCCCTCTGAGATCTCTGCCTCCAAATATAAATTCCTCAGTAACAACACAGCCTGCTCACACTCCATATTTAAGGTGAGTTTTTGACAAGATTGGTATTTTTCTCAAATTAATTTCTAAGACTGTCAGAATTTAACTTTGTAGTCCCCCCCCCTTTTTTTTTTAGTAATTATACAGCCCAATTGTTTATGGTTTTTGTTTTGTTTTTAGCTTTTTATATAGGAATTATGGATTTGTGTTCTTTTTGTGAGATGGCTACCCTTGGTCAATGTAGTTTAAAATCCTGGAACAGGACAAAACGCAATGTCCCTGTGAACATCAAGCCCAAGACCATGTCCTCTTCAGTACTATTATTTAACTATCCTAAGTAATCAAGTATAGCATCTATAATGGTTAGTTACTAGGAACCACAGAATCAAAAAGTAGCTAAAACACTTGTTTTTTCTATTTCAATCCAAATTGATTAATAAGTTTTTAGGCAAAATTTTGGGTAGATAAATTTTACTTCTTTATGTACAGTACACTAAAAATCAGTAAGTCTTGACTTGGTTCCATAAATTAGAGAATTGTCTAAACTATTACCAAAATGTTAATTGTGTTGTGTATGTCGTCTTGCGGTTCCTTCCTTCTTTAAGTTCTATAGTACTATGTCCCCTAAATGATTATTTTAAATGAATTTTTGGTGTTTAAATAATCCAGTGCCTATTTGAGATTGAGTCTGAGATGGACTTTGGTAATACTGGGCACCACTGGAAACCTTTGGAAATGCAAAAATAAATGGAAGTACAACCAATAGTAGAGAAAATTCATTTAGTTTTTAGAATTTTTCATTCATTGTGAGCATTCCTCAAGTCTACACATCCAATCATAATCTTTCTAATGAGCTACAGCCCCAGCAACTGCCTACTGAACATCTCCACCAGGGCATTTCATAGGATCTGAAACTCAGCATATCTAAATTGGAACTTAGATTTTCTGCCAAACTCATCCTTTTTCTACACTTCCCTATTTGCTTTGGGAGAACCATTACACTCTTATCATCTAGATTTGCAACCATAGTCATCTTCACCTCTTCATTATCCATCAGTTTTCTTATGCAGTCAGTTGCCAAGTCTCATTAACATCTCTTGCATCTGTACCCCCTCTCAACTCACACAGCCTCTACCCTGTTACAATAGCGTCTTAATTGGCTTCTGTTTCCAGTCTTTCACCTTTGAAGTCTATCTATGCACACAGCTCCCAAATTAAAATGACCCAAAGATGGATCTGATATTATTCCTCCATCCCTCCCCAACTCAAAAAGCTTCATTGACTCCCAGTTGCCTCTAAAATTAAAAAAAAAAAAAATCAGTTTGACATTTAAAGGCCTCCACAATCTGACTCATCTCTACCTTTCTTGTCTTATTTCATATTACTTTCTATTGCAGTCAGACTGACCTTTTAGCCATTTTTCTTGTACATAATGTTCTTTTCCTACCTTTGTATATGTGGGTTACCATGCACGTCATAGAGTCCCTAACCGGTTTCAAAGCACAGCTGAGGCACCATCCCCTTTATGACACCATTATTGATTTGTCTCTCCCTCTGGGGAAATTACTTTGTGTTTACTGAAGTATAAATTGTATCCTCTTCTTTTACATCCCCTCCCCAGGATGACATAAGCTACATGAGGACAGGGATGGTTTATTTTTGTCTTTGTCTCCTTAGGACCTTGAACAGTGTCTTGCTCATAAAAAGCCCCTAATAACTGCCTTTGTTGAAGTGAATTGTTGAATTGATTTAATTTATTGAACAACTGCTGTATCTACAGTATTGCAGTAAGAGCTATTGGGACAGGGAACTGTGTCACGTACTAATCTCTGCCCTCAGAAGTTTGTATTTGGGAGATTAGACCTGTACCTGTAATTATGATGATATAACATAAATTGTGATAAGTACCACTGAACCAGTGCCAAAAAGTGCTGTGATAGGTCAGAAGGAGAGATTGCTTCCGACTTGGGCTCGGTGGGTGAGAATTATTCTTACAGGAGAAAATGTGGACTAATGGAAAGACCATCAAATTATACAAAGTCAGAGACCTCGGAGCTAATGCTGGCTCTGGCTTGAACTAGTTGTAGACTTGGGCAGGCATCTGTGACATGACAAGAGTTGGACTAGATCTCTAGAGTAGCAGCTCTTAGTGGGGGTGGTTCTAGGAAGTATGAGGATAAGCCCATGTTCTAGTTTTAGGGGTGATTTTTTTTTTATCAGATTTCCTTTTTGTATCAGTCTGTGATTACTATATGATGTAGTCTGCTGGTCATGGCCATCCTTAGAAGATTGTGAAACTTAGTCCTCTCTTAAGTAGTTTGGTGCTGAGAACATATCTTAAAACCTTTGTCTACCTCTGAACACGTTTATATGCCAGAGAAATAGAGATAAAACCACCCTAATGTTAATTCTGCTACCTTCTGTGCTGTGGAAGGGTAGGTATGGGGTAGGCTCTTTATGAGCTGATTGTATTTAAGATCTTAAGGCCTTTAAAAAAAAAGAATTAACAGGCCAGCTACCTTCTCCTCCTGAGACCAAAATCAGAGCCAATGGAATGATACCCTAGTTGCATGGCTTGGCTTTCCAAGTTACTAAGATTACTGGAGGAAAAAAAATTTAAGTATGTATCTTTTGTCTTTTCCTAATTCCTTTTTTCCTTTTGAATATTAAAACTTGTGTTTTTAGTAACTGGCATCCAGAATAAGAAATCTATTATTTTCGTATAGAAATAATTAACTTTTAGAACAAAATGCTTGTTGAGTTTTGAAAGCTAAGTCATTGAAAAGTAATAATGAATGCTTAAATTAGAAGAAACTTCAGAGGTCCTTGGAAAGCATCCACATAGTCCATCCCCTCATTATAGATGTGAAAACTGAGGTCTCAAAAAGGGAAGTGATTTGCCCAAGGTCCCACAGCTACTGTATGTCTGAGCTGGTAGTGGAAGCCAGTTCTCCTGACACTGTCCAATGCTCTTTCTATGGTGCAGAATGATAGACTGTTTTGGCAAAATGATTGATCTTTCTGCCTGGAATTTTGTGTAAGAAAACATTTGGTCTTCGTGAAATGGTTAATTGTTGAAATGAGATTTTTCTTTGCTTTGTTTTCAGTACTGGAGTAGATACAGTTTCCAATCCCACGTATATGAACCAGAACTCTAACCTTCAATCAGCTGCTCTTCCAGCTTCTTACACACAGCAGATGGGAATGTCTGTGGATATGTCATCTTATCAGAACACTACATCCAGTTTGCCTCAAGTAGCAGGCTTGCCTGTGACAGTTCCAGCTCATTCAGTTGCACAACAGCAAACAAATTATCATCAGCAACCTCTCCTTTAAAAAACAGACCAGGCATAGTCTTGAAAACATTCATAAGTATATTGCTCAGCCCTTGTGATTTGAGTCATCTAAGAATGACATAAAAATACAACCATTTTTCTCTCAACTCAGAAGGACCACGAGTAAAGCACAAAAATCTCGCTTACCTCCCCAACCCCTTGACATGAAGCAATTTTTGAAGTAATTAGTTATGTTAGACTGTTTTTTCAGAGATGGCTTTAAGATAATTTGAGTTAGTTTACTCTAGCTTAAAGAGTTCCATGTAGAAATTTTTGACAAGTACTAAGTAGCCTTTTGAACATTAGCCAGTCTTCTTTTTTTTTTTTTAAAGCATTGTCAGTCTTTGATGTGCTTTAAAAAAAATAGTTTTCCTTTCAAAATGTACTTGGGAGGGCACTTTCATCTATTTAAATAGTATTTTGTCTGCATATTATGGTTTAGCATTTTCTACACTCTTATTCCAAAATTTGAACATCTTTTCATTTAAAGTATCTACCTTAGCTAATTTGCAGTTTTGTTTATGCTACTGGAAATTTGGCTTTGACTGTGCTACTAGCATCATGATCTGTTGAAGCAAACATGAATTGGGAGATGAAAATTATTTCACAGTATGAGGACCATGTAAATAGAAAAATGTGAAGAAACACTTGGTTCTAAAGAACAGTTCTACCAATAGTAGGTTAAAGAGTGCCCCTAAATCTTGTTTCTGTTTGCTAGGGAAAAGCATTTAATTTCCTTCTGGGGTCCATGGAGTGGAGAATTGTTATAATGGCTCTTTTTGCCCAATAAAGCCATTCCCTAGTGAAGACCTGACCTAATTTTATGCCCTCTCTACCATACGGATTTCTCTTGCATGTTAAGTGCCCATAATTCCTTAAAAGGAGCTTGACATGGATTAGAAACTTTTTAAGGAGAGAAAATCAGGCTCACTGTTAACTCTCTTAGTGTCAAGGGATCCTAATCATTTGATGTGTTGTATGTTAAGCATGGCATGTGCCCTCTGTTTAATATGTTTTAACCTTTCAAAATGTGGTTTAAGTATCATTGTTGTGTCACCCCATTTAAAATACTGAATATTACTTTTAATTCATCATTCTGAACATATGGAGTGATAGCATGCAATGGATTGACAAACTACCAAGACAGTTTTCTGGAAACCTAAATTTTAGGTGGTTTTATAGTGTTCATAGTTCCTATAGACTATAGGAGTTGGGTAATGTATTTCAAGATTGTGGGGTTTGTTGTCCCTTCTGAAAATTTGCACACTACTTCCTCATTTACCAGCTTCTTCACATGACACAAAATAGAAAATATACATAAATAAGATTATGAATAACTGATGTTTACACTGGGGAAAAATAATGGTCATAACTTTAGTAATAAAAATAGTTATATGCATGGAAGCAGGATTTCTACATGTGATTTTTACATACATAATCCTTTGTACCAAAAATTATTTGGTGGTAATTCACCAAATTTTTTGTTATTGTTTATCTAGTTAAAGAAATTATTTAGTAATGTGCTCCTTTTTCAAACTGACTACATCCTGGAACAAAAGAGATCAATACTTGGTTTACATTCAGAGGGGGGAAAAAGCAGATTGGTATTTGAAAGCCTACTCCAAATCATTGTCTTACTTTAGGTACACATAACTGGAAAGAAATGTTTAGTGTTTGTTGCCCCATATTCTGATTTTCATTCCATATTTTCTGTCTATGTGAAGTTAAATATATGTGTGTAAACATACACACATGTATCCTAAAATGGCACCTTAACTTTTTGTTAACATTTTTTCTGTTTAAAAAATAAACAGTTTATTTGAAAAGCTGCTCTTCTTAATAGTTACTATTTGAAAACATGGAAGAACTTACACTTTTCCAAACAATATTTAATAAAAGTTATTTTAAGAGTTTGTGTGAGTTCTTCATGTATGATTGTGATTTGGAATATCTGAATAAAGCTTAATCGAATATAGTCTTTGAGCCAGTATAAATACTACCCTATCCATTAAATTTGGATCATTCAAGTAAGAGTTAAACTAATGCAGTTTTGGACTAATTTAGTTCTTTATAACATGTGAAATGTATATAAATATTGTACATGGGCATTTGTCTGTGGGATTTTATACATGTGCAGATGTATTTACTTCCTCTTAAATTAAAAGTAACAATTTTATATTTGGCATACCATTTCCTTTCTTATGATGTGTAGTGTGTAATCCACTTATCCAGATTGTAGATAGTGTAAAAAAAGTTATTATATCTGTCTTTACATGCTTTTTTGGTGTTTATAGGAATTAATAGGGATTTTTCCCCTTCACAATCTTATGTATTGTTCTATTTATTTTAAGTCCTGTTCATAATTAAATGTTTGCTGCCAAAGGAATTGTCTAACTTAAGATTTCTACATTAAGAACATACCTACTGTTTTATATCAGGAGTAAATAAATTGCTTCTGCTTTTTCATATGCAACGTTGTTACATTAGAAAGAATTCCTGAAACTTTATAATAAAATTAATTTTATTATTAATGTATATAATTTGTTCCTGGGTGTTAAAATAATTAAAATTGGGTATGTGTTCTTGCACTTTGGAGACTTTGAAACGTACTGAAAATTTTAGCTTGGCAGTTTATAAAATTACCTAAACATCTGTGATATTCACGGTTTTTAATCTAAAGTAATGTTTGTAAGTAAATTTATACTATTTGACTACTTGGATTATACATATTCTAAATAGAAATTCTGATTTTTTAAGGTCACTTGATTAGAAAAGTTTATCATTTAAAAGGTGTGGACTTTTTTTTGTTTCTTAGTTTTTGCTTACTAAGGGACGCAAATTTAAAAAACCCCATGACAACCAGGGGAGTAATTCTTAATGTCAGTATGGTGGGAAAACTTATTTTTACAAATAATAAACACTAATCTGCCATCATGTGCTTTTGATAGAGGGCTTTTTCCTGATGTTTCCTTGTAACAATACACTAGTAGTGTGTTGAGAACTTGGAATGAAGGCAATGGAGGGGGTTCTGTATTACTTTATCAACCAAGAATTAGTATTTTTTTTTCCCTTTTCAGGAAGTGGAGCATAAGAAAAATGGTTTATATGAATTTAGGCAAGCTAAATTTGAATGGAAAATGATCAAACTTGAAGATTTAGAAAAAGAAAAATGACATTGCTGACATTATATAGCATCTCTTTAGAGGACCCTGGGTTCCAGGTACCTTCACACCATCTGTTTATTTAACAGTATAGCAAGAGGTTTTCATTTTTCTTTTTTTTTAGTTTCTCGTGGAACACTACAGGTGAAGCAGGAAACAACCTACTCTTATTTTTGCTAACAGGAAAGACAGCATTCATTTATTAATAATTATTGAACAGGTACTGGACACTGAAGATAAAAGTAGAAAATGAAGTAGCCCTGCCCTCAAAGAGCTTACATTCTACTCAGGGAAAATAGCATGTACAGGGAGAAGTACATGCAAAATATATACTATGCCACCTAGCTGCCCCCCCCATACCATACAATTTACCTTAAAAAAGTACTACCACTTCAGTTAATTTTGATGACGTTCAAAAATATATATCAGGGCTATCTTGACTTTTACCACAAAGAGCATACTGCATTTCGTAATTAGCAGAATTAAACAGCGGAAAAAGATGGTAGGTTATAAATTGATAAGTCCCTTTTAAGAGTAATATTTTGAGGTTAACTAATTTCCTTATTACTAGCATTTTGCTAATCATGTGAATAATTACTTATACTCTCCAAAGCAACTGTTTTCCAAGTCAAAAATAATTGGCTAAATAATTTAACTTGTCTGAGCAATACATTTTTTTTTCCTCTGTATTAATTCCTTGTCTACCTCATAGGGCATGGTGAGGAACAAATGAGATAATGGATATAACCACACTTAAGGAAAAACAACAACCACCATCACCAGTGACTGTCCACTAACTTCAGCATGCCAACAACTACCAACATTTATGTGGCATTTTAACATTTGTGGAGTGCTTTATAATACATCATATCATTTGTGTTTCACAAAAACCCTTAGAAGTAGATAGAATGGGCATTCTTAATTCCATTTTGTAGTTGAGGAAACTGATGGACATATCCAGGATCACAGTCAAATGATGGAGATGAGATTCAAATGCACTCTGCCATGGCACGTAGTAACAGAATGTTGGAGCCCCGAGGGGCTTCAGACATCAAGTGGTACAGTCCCTTCATTTCGTTCTTACGAAATCTGAGAGGTGGGTTGGACAAAATACGATTTGAAGTCAGAGGACCTGGGTTTGGATCCTTATCACTTGTAATCTTAGTTTGTTTATGTGTCACGAGAACCTAGATGATCTAAATCTATGCTCCTATGCTATGAGGGCCAAAGAACACATAATTCATAAATGTCTTCACAGAGCTGGAAGGAACCTCAGGCTATCTAGACCAACCCTTTCATTTTACAAGGTAAGGAAAGTGAGGCCCGAGGAAGGTAAGTGACTTGCCTAAGGTCACACAATATTGCTCCAGAGGCAGGATTTGAGCCCAGATCCTGTGACTCCCGAAAGGCAGCATAGAGTAGTGATTAGAGAGCCAGCCCTAGACCCTAAAAAACCTAGACCTAGGTTCAAGTTCCATCCCTGCAACATACTGGCTGTGTGATCCTAGGCAAGTCACAACCTCTCAGTGTCATTTGGGTTACTCTCTGAAAGTGTAAGTGACCTCCACTGGTAAAGGGAAATTCCTTACACCAATGAAATCACAGCTGCAGTGATCTTTTCCACTCTACTAGACTTCTGACTTTTAAATCTAGTCCTCTTTCCACTACCAAATCCAAATTTCTTAGCCTGGTATTGTAGAATTCCTCCCACCATCTTTCCCCAACCTAGTCTCCAATCTTTTCTCCTCTTCATCAAACATCTGATCTAGCTGAACTGGCCTATTTATTCTTCCTCAAACCCAACACTTACCACTGGATTGTGCCTTTTTTTAATTAGTCTTCTTGCCTGAATTACCTAGTCTTAGTTTCACCTTCAGGGCCCATCTCAAATTCCCCTTCTTCCTGACATTGCCTCAGTGGTTTTTATAACCTCTGAACAGTATGTGGTACTGATCTATATCCTGTCTCCCTAACTAGTGTCAGCTCCCTGAGATCAGGGAAGATGTCTCATATTATTTGCCCAGGGTCTAGAAGGCAGCATTGAAGTCTCTGCTAAGTGCCAAGCACAGGTGTTGGTGATACAAATATAAAGAATGAAACAACTTTCCTCATAAGGGGCTTCTAATGAGGGAGACAACAAGCACGCATTAAGTATTTACAGAATAAATGTAAAGAGAATAAAAATAAAGTGTTTAAATACAAGGTAGTTTAGAGAAAAGGTACTAGGAGTTGAGGGGAAGATCAGGAAGACTTCTTTGTAGAAGGTAGTGCTTGAGATGAGTCTTAAAGGAAAAGAGGGATTCTTGAAGGTGGAGAGGAGAAAGGCATTTCAGGCATGGGGAAGGCAACTCCAAAGGCACAGAGATGAGAGGTAGAATGTTGGGTGTGAAGAATAGAGAAGTCCAGATTATCTGGGGTGTCAGGGAGGGGGAGAAATGTCCAGTAAAGCTGGAAAGGTAGGTTGAGGTCAAGTTGTGTGAGGCTTTAAAAGCTAAGTGGGGGAGCTTATATTTGATGCTAAAGGCAATAGGGAGCTCCCAGAGTTGATTGAGTAGCAGAGTGACATGGTTAGATTTGTTCTAAAGGAAAGACACTTGGGCAGCTCTAAATCCTGTGATCAGTAAATAGTCACACATGGTTCAACAAATAGACACACACACACAGTGCGTCCACAAGCATCTTGGAGTAGTGGATACAGAATCTCATGTGAGGAAGACCCATCTGCATTTGATACATACTGGTTGTGTGACCCTGTGTAAGTCATTTAACTTTCAGTAACTCAGGCAGCTCTCAAAGACTGATAAGTATCATTAGAAAGAGTTTTCTCACAATGAGATTCCCATAAATGAAATCACATTTATACATATTAATCACCATCCACATCTCAAATAAATTGTTACTAAGTTATGAATTATATTGTTGTAATGAGAATTTGGTACATGCCTAAACCATTCACCAAGTCTCTGTCACACTGTGTTGATGATATTGTGAGTCATTGAGTTACAGTATAGTATGTGATCCCACTGAAATGCAGAGAGAAAATATACTTTTTTTTTTAGGAACCTGGAGCCCTAGTTTCTAGTTCTGGGTCTCCCACTAACTAGCTGTATAACCTTGGATAAATCACTAAACTTCTGTGGGCCTTAATCTCATCTGTAACATGAGGTAAGCCTTCCCCCCCCCCCCCTTTAGGGGTAGCTAGGTGTCTAGGTGGACAGAGTACCAGACCTGAAGTCAGGAAGGCTCATCTTCCTGAGTTCAACTGTGACCTCAAACACTTAGTATCTGTGTGACCCTGGACAAGTCACTTAACACTGCCTCAAGTTTCTTCATCTGTAAAATAAGCTGGAGAAGGAATTGGCAAAGCACTCCATTATCTGCCACAAAAACCCTAAATGGGGATATGAAGAGTCGGTGATGACTGATAGGACAGCACAATGACAAGGCCCCCTCCTACCTCTGATCTCCCCGTGGCTCTGACTATTCAGGTACAGTAGGGTAGTAGGAGGATATAGGAATGGACAGATAATATGTGTAATTTGATCCATCAACATAGCTACATAATTGTTAAAAAAAAATGAAAATGAATGGAATTACTATTCCATCAAGAAATCCCAGATGGCAAGGTGAACAGAAAGAACAAAGATGGAGTGGGTTAGTGATTTGAGCTACTATGTCTGCTTTAATGGATTTCCTATGTAATATTTATAGATTTGCAAGTCTATGAGAAAACAGAGCACTTAAAAAAATGTCTGGCTTCTTGTTACTTTTTCTCTCCTCTTAGCATGCCTCGTTTATCTCCTTGCTTCCCACAGTTGCTAAGCATGTCCCCACCTCCAATGATTTTAATTTTAAGTAAAGCACAATTCTTTGTGCTTTGGGGACTAATTCAAGAATCAGACACTTAAAGGTTGCTCATGCATTTTGGATAATTCTACTCATTAGAAAATGGCCATCCTTGCATGTAGTCCACAAAGGCATGTGACCAAGGGTTGCTTTAGCTGGTTGAACATGACCTTCAAAACTCCTAGGACAACGTGGTCTCATGCAGGGTTGGCTTCCCCATACAGGCTTGGGCTGCCAGCTTGTTCCATTGTTGCTTACTATGTGAGTGACTTTTGGCTAACAAGTGAGGCTTGCAAAAACAAAACAAATCAGTCAGATAAAAAAGAATACACAAAATCCATGCATCAGCAGAAAAGGCTGTTAAGTGAAATCAGAGAAGCCTTTTTCCCCTTGCCCTTTTATACTTTCTGTACAGCAGACCACCCCCCCACATACACCCCACACACCTTTACTCTCTCAGCTGTGTGCTATACTGCACCAGTCTCCAT